TTAAACATGAGTTAGATCTAAATCATGAGTTTCAGTGTATTTGAAACATCAGGGCTAATTGATTACCTGTGGAGTTGGAACAGTTGTTATTACTGGTGTTGTTGTTGTTGCAGTAGTTGTTGTTGGTATGGATAAGGTCAAATCATCAGTGGTTTCGACAGTTTGTTGGGAGGTGCCTCCTTCTTTAGACTTCGAAGCAGCGGTCTTTATCCTGATGGCTGAAAATCGAAACAATTAAGGTAAAAGTTAAAAATGAAGAAAGTAAGAAACATTTGGGATTTCCCCAAGCATTCGCATCTGCGCCTTGATTAGATATAATCGACATGGCAGAAAGGTCATAGCGAAGATGTCCTGGGAAATCATGAAGCCAATGACGTGCCCATGTCACAGTCTCAGATGGCTTTGGTTTCTTTTGAAGGTATTTGAACATTTCTTTGCAAGTGAACCACCAAGGTTATGGAGGAAACCAAGCCAGAGCCAGTTCTGAGGTAGGCAATCTAGGGAATTTAGGTGGATGCATTTCGAGTGCCAACCTATACCTATCCTCAGGTGGCAACCCTGAAGGAAGTTTGAGCTTAGAAATTTTTTCTTTAAATTTTTCCTTCAAGGTCTCAGCCGCTTGATGCACAGTGGTTTCCAAGTGTGTGGGATCATAAGTGGTTTCGAAATAATTTTGAAAAGCCCTAATCTCTTTGGCGTGAGTGAACATACCTTTCTTGGAGTGTACCTGCACATCGAACGCATCAGTTAGTTTCTGTTGAATGGAGAGGGTATCGAACATATAAGATTGGTAGAACTTTGTCCACCATTCCAGAAAACCCTTTGCTGTGAAGTGTGTGGGTTCAAAGGGTAGTAGTTCAAATTGAGCGAAGCCTTGATATTGTTCCTGTTGCAGTTTGGCTTCTCTTGCTTTAAAGGTTCAACCAGAAGTGATGGCACTCTCTGTTTGGAACAGAGGTTCAGGGATTAGTTGGCACATGCCAAATTGTCTAGAAACAAAGTTAGGTTGATAGGCAAAGAGGAAGATTTGATTCTTGGAAGGAGTGATTCGTGAGGAAATTAATCTAGGAAGCAAAAAGGCTTTCCAAATATCTTGAATTTCTTTGCTTTTAACTGCTTCTGAAAGAGCCATGGTGAACCATGATGGTCCATGATTCCTTGAAGCAAAGGGTGCCATGGTCTCTTCAAATTTGTGTCTTTTGGAAAAAATCATGATGTATTTTGAGAAAAGGACCTTGAAGTCATCTTTATCATCATTTGGGGTGAATTTTCGCAGCCTTGTACCTTCAATAATTATATCCGCTACCTCCGGATCTTGTTCAACAACGGTGTCAACAGTTGATAGTGAGGGTTCAAACATGGCATTAAGCCATAATTGGAGTAACCAGAATGGGCCAGCTAGAATGATGTTTTTGGGGGTATGGGATTTCAAACTCGAAACGGCTGATCTTAAGCTTTCGTAAAGATCAACAAGTAACAGTTCGCTCAAACATACCCTTATATTCTCATGTAAGTCTCTAGCTAGAGGAATGAACCTGCTCGCTACCTGTAAGGATCTGCTGCAAAATACATATCTTGATAACCATAAAGTGAGGAAAGCAATATGTTCCACATCTGACACATTATCTCCTTCAGTGTGGTAATGGCTAATGAATTTGGAAAAGCTGGCTAATTTGACTTCGAAGTCAATAATGTTGGAGTGTTCTTCATTGTCAGGGATATAGGTTTCTCCTACTGGTGACAAACCAGTGATGGATGCTATATCGAAGAATGTGGGTGTTATCATTCCCCTAGGAAGATGAAAGGTGTTGTAGGTGCTGTCCCAGAAATATAAGGACGCAAATAATAATGGATGACTATAGGTGAAGCCTGGTTTCGATAACTTAATCAAATTATAGATTCCTAATTCCTCCCATTGCTGGGATTTCTTGGCTTCTACTTTGGTAAACCAGTTTTGGTAAGCTATGTCAGAGGTAGGGCAGGATCGGAATGGTTTAAAATTGCTTTTCACGTAGTCTAGCACAAAGGGATCTTTTGGGGGAACGGTTGGAGTTTCTATGGTTGTCGAATCAGAAGACTCGCCTATCTTAGGGATATCCATCTTGTTAAACAAAGGTTTAAAGTTGTAACAGACAAGGAAGATTTTTCTAGTATCTTTTAAGATTTCAAAGACTGTAAGAGGACCCATTAGAGCAAACCTCTTTCCAGTAGCGTTAGTTGGAATCAGTACCTGAGAAGCGTAGAGCATTTCCTTTTCTTTGGAGATCATTTGGGGGATAAGCACAGATTGACCTTGATAAGTACCAACCTTGCTTTCCATTATTGTTCCTGTGTTCTTGCCTTTCTTTTTGGAAGTTTTCTTCAGTTTGGATGATGTTGTAGAAGACATTGTTGAAGATTGTTGGAAGTTTTAGGGTTTCGGTAAGAAGAGAGGAAGAAAAGTTTCAGAATGTGGAAAAGAATAAAAGACTAAGTTGATTGGTTTTTATAGTGTGGAAGTTTAAACATCCACTAAGTGAGACTAGGATACGTGGGAGTCGTGGGTTGGATTGAGAAGGAGGTGGCGTAAAGGCTGATATTGGTAATAAGCGTGGTTAATAATAATCATTGTTTTATAACTGCACCATGCTGTGAAATACTGATTCAAGACGGTTAAGAAATCCAAGAGGCGTCGTGATTGACGTGATTGGGGTCATACGCAATAAATGTTATGATTACTCAAAGGTCACATCAAAATCTTGCAAATATGTTTAAAATAAGTATTTCTCAAGGGATCGAGATACATATTTTAAAGGGGCATTTTGTTGGCTGAAGATTTTGATAATACAGTTTGAAATGAAGTAAGTTGGATGTTTCGTTGGAATAAAACAAGATGTTACGGTTCAGAATGGTAGAAGCAGTTCTTCGAATGAACATGTCAAAGCTCGGAGCTTCGAGTGACAGTTGTGAAGATATATTTAAAAGAGGCCTCGAAGTGATATCGAGACTGTGTTTGTGAAATGAGTTCGAAGCAAAGATTACCAAGGCATTTGAAATTCAAACGCGAGCGGGATGTTGGAATTCAAATATATATGCGCTGGAGCATTCGAAGACGCGTGGAAGCCAGAGAGGGGCAGTGCTCTGCATGTTCTGAACGTGGCATAATCTTATAGGCAAGACCGTTATGGTCGAAGTAGTATAAATAGAAGTCTTAGCGTTAGGATTTCGTGTGTCATATCTATTGTACAAAGTTCAGTAAACATTCAAAATACCACATGGCTAGGGAAACGAATGCTCGAACAATGTACGTATGATAACACCAAATATTTATAATTCAGTAAAACTCTTTATCTTTTCCAGTTTATCTTCTATCTTCATGTCAATATCATTCAAAAGCCTTTACATTAAAGCCTTTTCATTCAAAGTCACTTACTGATTTCTTGCATTTAAACGTTTTCCTTCTATTTCGAATCCCTTACATTTCAGAAACTCTTTTACATTTCATGCTTTTATCTTCATGCTTTTGTCATTCAAATACCTTTTCATTCAAAGTCACTTACTGATTTCTTGCATTTAAACGCTTTTCTTCTATTTCGAATCCTTTACATTTCAGAAACTCTTTTACATCTCATGCTTTTATACTTCAAAGTTATTTACTTGTTTCTTGCATCTTTATATTTCTTTGCAATCGAATCTTTATTCATGCAGTTTAGTTTCGCATGTCTTTACTTGATCATGTCATTAGATCCTTTTAATATGGTAATCGAAGTGAGTTGAACGTCTATAAAACATCCCAAATACAAACCCTAACTATGAATATCAGTTTTACAATTAGAGTTATCCAAACGACCAATACCCCATAGGATCAATCTAGTCGATCCTGCAAGTTACCAGAGAGATTAAATAACAGTCATTAAGATTATTTGATAGTTTGGAGGACTAGCGGTTGTTTACCAGAAATCACTGTAAACACCACCTCATTGAAATATGCTAGGTATTTTCTCAACGACTAGAAGTATCCATGTCACACATTGTACATAGTAGTGGTAAACACCTTCCCGTGCTTACTCGTCGAAAATTGGTGGATCAATTTACCGAAGAGATCACTGTAATTGATTACTGAAATTAGGAGGAGGTTCATAGGTTATAACAGGATCACCTCTCTGAAAGTGAAAAAAGTGACTAAGATGGATGGAAACCAATTTATATGATCTATGTTAGTTTTATCAAGATCTCACACTAAATGTCATTTATAATTGTTAAAACGATAACAAAGATTTTTTTTTTAGAATCACGATAAGAGTTTTGCTCACAAGACTTTTTATACTGAATTTTCTAGAATTGATGAACTCAATTAGTTTGTAATTTATTTTTAGATATAACAATTAATAAACATAAGTACATCAATATATTATTTTAATTAAAAAAATCAATTCTTTCTTTCTTTTAAGTTTTTACTTATTCACATAGTAAAGTTTAACACTAACCCAAAATCAAATTTGTCAAAAAATTCTTTCTTTCTTTTAAGTTTTTACTTATTCACATAGTAAAGTTTTACACTAACCCAAAATCAAATTTGTCAAAGAAAAAAAAATTATTATCAATCTTAAAACAGTGCAAGTTGCAACTTACTGTACGTACATAACATAGAAAAAAAACAGATTCCGACGAAAGAAAAACGTTAGAAAATCCAAAGACAAAATCACATCCATGCAACCAAACATTTTTCAGTTGACTCCTCAGCAACAAAGCAATAAATAAGTTTCTCATTTTTCACTATTATAATATTCCTTTTAATAATATTAAATCAAATATAAACATTTTCTTCCTTTTTCTCAAACTCTTCATCTTCTTTTCCTTCTCCACTTTCTCTTTCTTCCTTTCAGTTTTCTCTGTTCCCACTTCTCTAAACCCCATAAATCCTTTACCGTTAACACCAATGATTTCTACTAACCAAAACCTCCCAACCGTTTAAACCCGACCCGAAACCACAACCGGATCGGATCTGCTGACACAGAAAAATGTACAAGAACCAGCTTCAAGAGCTGGCACAAAGAAGCTGCTTCAACCTTCCTTCCTACACGTGCATTCGGGAAGGTCCCGATCACGCGCCGCGCTTTAAAGCCACCGTTAACTTTAACGGCGAGATCTTTGAGTGTCCGCAGTATTGTTCCACGCTCCGTCAAGCTGAACACTCCGCTGCTGAGGTGGCACTCGGTTCTCTCTCCCACCGTGGTCCTTCTCATTCTCTCGCTGCAAAAATCCTTGTGAGTTTGAGTTACTTCGCACTTTCGGTTTGCTTTTTGTTTTTCTGTCGGTGCTTATGTTTCTCTTTCTGCTTCTGTTTCTATTTTTGTTTTTGTTTTCGACAATTACGTAAATACCCTTGTACTTGCTTCTGTTTTTCATGATTTTGATTTTTTGTTTATGTTTTTGTTGAATAAAATGATGCTGGTTTTATGATTATCATTGAGTATATTGTTGTGTTTTGGATGGGGTAATATTGGAAACAAGTTAAATTGACAAGTGAGATTTTTTCAGGATGAAACGGGAGTATACAAGAATCTGTTACAGGAAATTGCACAAAGGGTAGGTGCGCCTTTGCCGCAATATACAACTTTCAGGTCTGGCTTAGGGCATCTACCTGTTTTTACTGGGACGGTAGAGTTAGCTGGGATTATGTTTACCGGTGAACATGCGAAGAATAAGAAACAAGCGGAAAAGAATGCGGCTATGGCTGCTTGGTCGTCATTAAAGCAATGTAAGTGGCTAGGGATATTTTGTGTAAAAGGTTTTCTTCAATGAAAAGAAATATACCGTCGAAATAGATCATATTGTGGTTGTGATCTTTGATATTGCGGAGAATCAAAGAAATACACTCGATGTAGTCTCGATTGTGGGTGTGTTGTAGTTTAGAGAACTCAAAAAACACGATGTTTAGGCTACCAATGTGGTCGTAGATCTTGCTTACTGGTTTTTAAAACCGTAGCAATCCTTAGTCTAGTTATGTTTCCCTTATTCTAGTCATTCTTATGAGGCATGCATCATTTGAATCAGGTTATAACATACTCCTGCATTTCCATATCTAATTTGTGGTAAGGGTCAATGTAAACTTTAACACGTCAATAACCAGCTTCCTTATGCTATGTACAGTTATTTTGGTCCCAGCTCACAAGTGATTTTCCTTCAAAACACATGCTATTACGTGCTGCATAGTTTTGCCTGTCTTTTTGACACTAGAACTACTTTTTAGCTGAGTTTTATGCATAGTGGTTTAGTAGTAGCAAATCACACCACTAGAGTAGCAATGCAAAATGGTTTTAAGCAGTATTGTCAATTGCAGATTGCAAAAAATCGTGTTTTGTTCAGACTATGCAATGCTACAGTTGTAGCATCACTATTTTACAACACTTTGTACTAATTACTGTATCGGCGTATCATGAAACTAGGGGTGTGCATGGTTGGTTATTTTGAAAAACCAAACCATAATCATTTTCAAACCATTTAAGTGGTTTGGATTTATTACCATAACCACATTTTAATCAAAACTGGTTATAAAACCGGTTAAAAATTTGGTTACGATCATATAACCGTTTTTTTTTTAAATCCAGTTTTAAAAATTTATTTTATAAATATTTGTTTTTCAAATTATTTTTTCAGAAATAAATATTTTTGGAAAAAAATAATTTGGATTTTGGATAATAACCGGATTATAACCGAATCCAAAATAATTTAATCGGTTAATAACCATTTAATTATATCCGGATCATATGGATGGATAACCAAATCATTAATAACTAAACTGGTTAATAACCATTCAATTATATCCGGATATTTAAAACGGATTTAAATTTGGTTATGGATTTGGACCTCACAACCGAATATTATGTACACCGCTACATGAAACAATAGTGATTCGTTTGAATTCTGCTAAGCTATAGTGCTGTAGCACTACTATAGCTGCTATTGACAACATCGATTTTAAGTTCTTTGTCGCATCCTACTTTTGAATCGGTAGATCACAGCTGAGATATGGTCCATGTATATGGTCAAAATCTCTCCCCTGCAGCAGGGACGGTGGATTTAGGTCTGGTTTCTCTACGTTGAAGGCTCATTCTCTCTTAGCATGCAGCTTTCTTCTGATTGTTTTCCAACTACTACCCTGCAATTCAATCATTTTCCAACTAAGAGTGTGTTTGGTGACTCGGTGAGTCGCCGCTGCCGTGCTTTTAAGGGTCATTGTACCGTGTTTTTCTAAAGCTACAAAGGCTAGCTTCTAACAAACGCGCAGCATGACCGTGATTTTTGAGTAATTCCAAACATATTATAAGCCTGTTATTTTTCACGGTTACTTCTTCTCTGTCCGTTGTCATAGCTCGGTCCCATCTCTGTTTCTTTAACCTCTTTCAGTTATCATACTCTAATATCCTTAATCTTTGGTAGAGTAGCCATCCCATTATTCACTATCCTGCCATAGCATTTTGGAATTGACCACACTGCGCCACTAACCTGAGTTAAACAGCTTATAGTATATCTATACTAATATGATTTAATGTAAAATTGACCATGATTTTGTTCATTGACAGTGGCGAAAGAAACTGCAAGCTCCTCAACTGAACCGGAGAACAACGATGAACTAGAACAAATCACCATAGCACGGGCCTTACTAAACTACCGTCTGAAGGAAAAGATGGCAATGTCCAATCCAAATGCTCTGATTCCATTTCCAAAGAAGTTCCAGTTTCAAAATCCCAGACCGACCAGTCCTCAACCTCGACCGGCAACATCGAAGATCCTTCCCCTAATTTGCCAAAAGACAGCACCTCGTAGCAGGCATCTCGCAATGTCATCATCCAACAGTGATCATAATTCCAATATGTCACCACTTTCTTCTGCACCAGAAAATCGATGGATGCGTCGCCCAAAATTCCCTGCAGCAGGGGCAGCACCATATGTTCCGATTCGACATATGCGATCACCTTGCCAGGGAATTGCACCACCAGTTACCATAAGGACTGCAATACCTGTATTCTCCCCGCCACCAGCTGCAGTGTCTCCTCAACCAATGCAACCTCCTGTACGAGTTGCTCCTCCAATCAATATTCGACAAGCAGTTCCTGCATATGCCGCTCCACAAGTTCGAAAAGATGAACCTGTTCCCATCAGCAAAGACGGTCTGGCACGAGCACTATCTACCAGTCCACCAGTTCGAGTAGACGAACCCGTTCCCAGTGTCAAAGTTGATCCAGCACCGGCAGAAAATGCTACTCCACCGGTTCAAGTGGACGAACATCTTCCTACCAGCAAAGTCGATCCCACTCCACCACTTCAGGTAGATGAATCTGTTCCCATCAGCAAAGATGTGTCAGCACCTGCCGTTCATAAAGATGAATCTCTTCTCATCAGCAAAGATGATCCAGCCACAACTAGTGGTGCAGATAAATCTGACACCAAAACTGAGAATATTCCAGCAGAATCCGAGACAGTGCAGAGATTGGATCAGCTGAAAATTTGATTGTGAGAATCTAGAGTTTGTTTCTCATATATCTTACAATGAGTGATGTAAAACATGGTGAAGGTTAGCATGAGCTGTGGAATGAATATATATGTGAAATTGAAGAGCAGTTTAGCACATAATTTGCTCATATTTTTGATATTATTATGCATGTTGATCATATCATACTTAGTAGCTTCATTCGTGACTCCAAAAACACAACAACACCTAAAATACTCCATTGTCGTAATTGATTCTAACATCCCCCACAACCTTAAAATATAGGATATTCATTCATCTTAAGCTTTTGTGTTAAAGCATATTTCGGTGGTGCTTATGATTTTTATATTTTTCACTTGCCAAGCATAGTTCAATATGGTTTCTAAAAGGAGAATTTTTCATTACTCCTAATAGTGGTGAAAATCACTCCTGAAAATTCGAAAATATCTTTTGAAGATATATTTTCAAACGCACCTATCAGCATGTTTCGGATGTACATCTTTGAAGACATCATTATTCACGTTTTATAACATAAACGTTGGATTTGAACTTTTTGAAGTAGTTTTGGAGATGCACATGCGAAACATGTTGATAGGAGATTTCAGAAGTGCATCTCCGAAACTTCTTCTGATTGTGTTAGTTTTGTTCACAATACTGTAGTTACCCCTACCATATAAACGAAATAAAATTTTCGAAAGTATGAAACAAACATAACATTACGGAAAGTGCATAACGATTATATTAGATGTTCAAATATATGAAAATATAATTTAGTATATAAGTTGTTCGGAAAGTGCGTAATGTAAAAATATTACATCCGTAACAAAAAACAATACATAACATAGGCTACTGCTACTGAGTATGCCTGGTCCTCACTCCTTGTGACCTCCAATGTCGACTGTACTCCGCTGCACTAACTGCATTCCTAACCATCCTCTCAAATATTGCAACCGCCTCAGAATCACCTCTCTCGATGATACTGGAATCCAATGTCTCATGTCTAAGTAGGTGTATCCGCTGACAAACTGACAAGAGATCAGTGACATGGTCATCCTCAGCATGCTGGTTTTCCAAGATCTCCTCATGAGCTAGCCTAGGTGGTCGTCCAGGACCATCCGATGTCATGATAAGGTGTGACACGTTAAAGAATCATGTCACGTAGCCCTCTACACAATGCCAACTTTGAGATGTCGACATCATCCGATACTTCTGTGGCACCAAATAATTCTCCCAATCCTGGAAGATGGCATCGAGATCCCGTTGAACAATGGTGTCGGAAGCAGCCTGGAAAGGAGATCTCAGTATCATTTACACATAACCTAACTGTCGGATACACCTCTCTGAAAGATACCTAACCATAAGATTCGACCCACATGCTAGCCACCAAGAGTATAATGAGATGAAATCGAATGGGACAACATCCCTGTAATCGTCAAATAGCGTGCATTTGATGTCATCATGATTAGTATGGTCAAGACACACCCGGTAAGGCGACACCTTATGGTTCCCTCTGTGGAGGACATACTTTGCTTCCCTCGGCATGTCGTCAGTATAATCCTGAGCAGGCTCGAAACCATGAATACGGTGGAAGTGAGAGATTATCCAGCTCTGAAACAGAAAGCATATAATATGTAAGTACAAATTATAAAAACAAATAAACTGTAAAAGTTGAAATGAAAGATATCGTGAGGAGTGTGCAAGAACTAGTGAGATGTCTCACCCTCTACCTTGAAGCTTCATTCAACTTTTGGTACAGGTATGCCAAAGTGGCGGCTTCCCAGTTCCACTCATGAACAATATTCAGATCCATAAAATATCGAAGGTATGTAAAATCTACATAGTAGACACTTTTGTCCACAAAGAGGGACGTGTCAACCATAAACATGAAGTAACACCGTAAAGCACAATCTCGGTGCTACTGGATAAAAACCTCACCATCATCCTCGAGCGTTGCTGCTGCAATCAGGTGCTCCTCATATAGATCCTTCAGGTGGTTCTGCAGTCCTTAAATGCCCTATATGGATAAGCACCCAGATACTCAATCATCCACTTGATCGTCTCAGCTCGTATTATCTTGTGATGGTTAAGTAATCTTCCTCTGATAAATAGATGAAGCAAGCAAGCAACGTCATCAAGTGTGATCGTCATCTCCCCAACAGGAAAGTGGAAAGACGACGTCTCCTTGTGCCACCTCTCAGTAAATGCACCATGCATTTTGTGGTTTATGGTACTGTAACCAGTGCAGCATAGTCCGGAAAGTCCGGATCCAACAACGGTCTGATGGAATCAATCAGCCGCAGGTATAAACAACTCAAAAATTTTCCGCGAGTGATTCACAGACTTAATTGGAAACTGTTCCTGAAAAAAAATCGTTAAATATAAATTTGTGACTAAACCTATATAATGAAAAAGTGTAACCAAAAAAATATCTCTCAATCCTAAACATGTCGAGCGACCAGTTCACATATGCATATTCGAAATAAATTTAATATTTCACGTTGGTGGTCCGTTCTGAGATGCACTTCCGAATTCTGAGAATATTTTGGAAGTTTCGCCAGAGATCCTGAAAAAGTACACTAGGTGTAGAAAGAAATTCTCTTCTAAAAATTACATCATTGTTCAATAAAAAAAAGATAATTTCTTAATGCACCTAAGTATTTCTTAGACACCGGCGTGAATTTTCAAATATGCCCCTAAAAATCGAAAATGTATTTTCAGTGTACATCCTATTATATGAAAAAAAAACATACAAATTGAAAGTATATTTACGATTTCTAAATCAATGTTGTATTTCCGATTACACTTTAAATGAACTAAATAATTACACCGTAAAAAGTCACACCCTATTACGTTGATACGAATCACAATTACATTTCCGATTTCAAATATGATTTTTTTTTTTAAAAATACCATAAAAAATTCTCTATAAAAAAATACAGTGAACCCTTTAACATGTTCATGAGAACCACAAATTCAAAGTGAAGATGGAGATAATGGACGTTAACTCTTATAAAATAGACATTTTTGGTATCATACCACTCTCAATACTTTTGGTGACAGCACACACTTCAATTATATTTAATTATTTTTTGAATTAGTACTATCTTTAAGTAGCATTCAATGAGAAGACACACTCTTAGACTAGTTCAAATGTGAAATCACATTAAACCGTCTGAATTACCTGTCAAGTCACTTTCATCACTGTTTTTCATTGATTTATAAGTAGTTGATTGAAGTAGTTGTTTGCATTTTTAGATGGTTTTAAAGAAACTCATCCGAATTAAAAATAAATAAATTTATGATTTGATTTTAAATAATATATTAAAAAAATTAATCTAATTCAATTCAATTTTATGTGATTTAATTTAAATCAATTTTTTAATATTCAAATTATACATTAATATTATAAAATTATTAATAAATCATGAATTTGATATAATATATAATATATTAAAAATTAATATTATAAAGTAAGAATGGTCGATTATGATTGAAATAACAAAAATAAATAAATTATATCAAATTAATAATATTATTAAAAAAATTATTATCATCTAATAATAAATTTACATTAAATATCATATTAATAAAAAAAATAAATTCAAATATATATATATATATATATATATATATATATATATATATATATATATATATATATATATATATATATATATATATATATATATATATATATATATATATATATATATATATATATATATATATATATATATATATATATATATATATATATATATATATATATATATATATATATATATATATATATATATATATATATATATATATATATATATATATATATATATATATATATATATATATATATATATATATATATATATATATATATATATATATATATATATATATATATATATATATATATATATATATATTTCGGTTTGGTTTGGATCAGTTTTAAAAAATTAATTCGAAATTTATTTTGAATTAATCTTTTCACAAAATGACATAAACATATTAAATACATTTTTTTTACAGTTTTTAATTTTATAAATTAATTTTTTATTTTTTATTTAGATTGATTTGAATTTGATTATCCCTAAATAGAAATATCAATGTGAAAATTTATTTGAATTGCTTTTGTTACTTTTTATGCTACAAAAAAGTCACATAGCATTTAAGTAATTTATAAACAATTTTAATCAATTTATTCTAATGGATAATAAAATTCATCCGGCTAATTTATCTATTTTTTATTTTCACTTAATTTTACTTAAAATTTATATATTAATCAATTACTTTATATAATATGTAAAATTACGTTTCTTCCGTTTCTTTTATAAACCTCTATGACAAATTTTGTGCATATAAAGAAAAATTTGTTGTGTAGTTAAAATTTATGTTGTGTGTAATTATTTCTTATTTTTTAATTATTTATAGATATATTCAATTTGATATCTAAGTTAAACTAGTTGTATTAATAAAAATATTTTTTTAAAAAAATAGTATTAAATATATCTATAAATTTGTAGAGGGTAGTATATTAAGAAACATGTAAAATGTTCAAAAAGTGTTTTATAATTAGGAAAAAGAAAATAATAATATTAAAAAATATATAATAAATGATAAAGAGATAAAAAAGTTAATAAATTTATATTAATTAAATATTATAATAATGAATAAAATAGCAAATAATAACAAGAAGAAATATATAATAACATAAAATACATAATAATATAAATATATAAATTATTTTGTGTTTTTTCTTAAAGTTGACAATGATGATTTGTGTGTGCACTAAGAATATCCGCTCATTCGTAACGCTATGTTTCTAAAAATATAAGTGATAAACATTAGATAGATATGGAATACAGATTTTTTGAAAATTATATATTTATATATGTAAGTATGATATCGTCGTATTAATATTATTTTCGTATTCAAATATGCTTTCATCAATGAAATGCCATTATCTCATAATCATTAATCAAAATTATCATCAACCTGTCATTTTCTCTTCACAATCATGTTAT